AGCCCTGTCTGTGAAACAGAACACAAAAGCCAGTGGGCCGGTTGCGTAAACTGTTTAGACTAGTCTTAAAAAGTTAGTCATCTAATTTTTTTCTTCAAGTCTGGTCATAACTTTTTTAATTCAGTTATGAAAAGGTTGATTGGTCTTATTTGTATTGGAAAATTAATACTGATTACCCCTTTGGCAGCTGCTAGTTGGTCAAACTAGTTCTTAAGACAGTCTTAACATGGTGGCTAAGTTTATGCAACTGGCCCCAGGCCTATATCTTTTTAGTCAAGTAGCATATGGATGTCATGTCATAAAATATTTTAAATATGACTGAATTCGTATTTAACATGATAATTTGATAGAAGCATTGAAAGTTACTAATTAGAATGTTTACGTTTCCTCAGTTATTCAATCAGCAGCTACAGAAAACGAGCAAAGAACATTTACATTACCAAAGAGCCTAAGCGCGAGTTTATGGACTTTAAAAAAACACTCCCGTTGTAATCAGTGAAGCTATCTACACTATATGATGAATAAATCTCTTATACTTGCATCCCACGTATACGTTACATCTGCACTTTGTTGTTTATGATGAGACAATTCGTGAGAGAGCAGACAGCGAGCGCGCGCACTCAACAACAGCACGCCGGTGTTTCAGCGATGACTCATCGGAACGCCTCTGATTGGCCGCTGCGTTCACAAACTCAACGGAATCGTGTGTCATTGGTTATAACACGCAACACTGTAAAACGCAGAAAAAGAAATATGATGGAACAAACCTAATATTAATTAGATAGTATTACTAGCCTGATAATAATAATAGCTGTCTTGCTATTGTCAAAAGGATTAGCCACAGACGATACCTCTGACAATCGTCGGTACACAATACTATCTAAACACTATTAATACAACCCTAAAAAAAGTATTAATGTCTTTCAAAAAAAAATAAAAAATCTTACCAACCACAAACATATTGACGTGCACTTTATAAATAGACATTCAAAAGTCAATCTATTTATGTCAGTGCTAATGTATTAGTATATCATTGTGGGAAACATTTGACCATTGTAGGTAATGTTGTGGGGAAAACCAATTCTCCAGCAGACCTTCACTCATCAAATCCAATCAGACGGTTAAGTGAGTTTTCATGGTTATCTAGTCAAAAGGTCAAAGCATCACCGAGGCTGTATTGATTCTAGGGTTTCTCAAGGGTTGTCACACACTAGACTGCATTCATCAACAGATAGTCAATTTGTTGTAAATCATTGCTATTTATATCAATATTTACTACCATTTCATGTTAAATCTCACGTCTTCTCCTCTCGACCAATCTTGTATCACTAGAGCCCTGGATTGGACCCGCAGTCATGTGAGCAGGAGTGTACTGGAGGCAGCCGGAGGGAACGATTTGAGAAATAAGCATCTGATGGGACGTTTGATTTAGGGTTTAGGGTCATTTCCAGTTCAAGGTTTGTTTTGAGATGACTGAATTTGATACGGTTTTATTTACTCTACAACTCATGTGAGTTCTCAAAAAACTGTAATAAGTTTGTAAAGTCAGTCAGCAGTGATAAAGCGACCTTGAGAGACGCTTGCTGCCGTTCTGTAAGCTGACTTGAGTTTTTAAATGCAGCAATATGCTGCTCTGTCAAAATGAATATTTCCAGCACAGCAAAATTAGTTCTGTATCTGCATATGACCTTGTGTGATGGATCAGGGGCATGATTCACTTCTTAAAGGGGTCATATGATGCGATTTCAAGTTTTCCTTTCTCTTTGGAGTGTTACAAGCTGATTGTGCATAGATAAGATCCCTGAAGTTGCAAAGACTAAAGTCTCAAAACCAAAGAGATATTCTTTATCAAAGTTAAGACTCTGCCACGCCCCCCTAAAACGGCTCATTCTAACACGCCCCCACATATCTACCCCACTATGTGGAAATATTTGCATAATCCCGCCGCAAATGTGCACGCAAAGAAAGAAGGCATGGTGTCAGTAACCGCAGTTAGTGTTGAAGCAGCCATGTCAAGGAGACGCTGTGTGTTTCTAGGCGAAATCATATGACCCCTTTAAGAAACGAGTTAAGAAATGTCTTAAGATAAATAAATCCCACAAAGTTCCTAAGAATGTTCCTAAGTTCAGTTTATGAAAAATTCTAAAGAAGTTCTCAAATATGTTAGGAACAGATTATTATTAATATTATGAAAATGACTGTCTTTATCTGAATAAATGACGGTTCTTGCTGAAGACTCACTGACAAACTCAATTGAAAACACTTCAAGGGAGCTTCCTAATAATCTTAAGAGAAAAGATAAGAAAACTCTTAAGATGAATTGTTAGGAATAAAAAAAATATTCTTAACTTTTCCATGAGTTAGAAAATAAGAATTTTTTTCTAAAACAGTGATTCCCAAACTTTTTTTTGGTCTTATAGCTCTATCCATTAGCCACAATTACCTCATCACATTGTTATTTCAGTATTATTTATATTAATATTATAGTATTGATTAATAGTTTGAATGAGCTTTTATTCTGATATTTTCACTGTCATTTTCGGTTTCTGTTTGCTTTTTTCACTATTTTTGTAATACTACTGCTTATTTTATTTCCGTAAGTTGCCAAGTCAGCATTTCTAGTTTTCATTAACGTTTTTTAAGTTTAATTTTTAATGTAATATTTCAGATATAAATAATATTTCTAATACAATTTCATTTTTTTATTTGATTCTAATATGATTTTATTTCAGCTTTATTTTTAATTACCGAAACCGATTTTTAATAGTTTTAGTCAATAGCACTGCTTCATCAACACAAAACCAGAAAGGCTTTAATTTGACTCGTTCTATACTGGATAGCATTTATCTTTAAAGTCACCCTTAAACAAGGAAGAAATAACTGCTCTTTATGCAGTCAAGCAGCACATACATTCTGCTACACTAATAATTAAACAATAACAATTAGTTATTTTATTTCAGTTTAATAGTTTTAACAAAGCAAAGTCAAAATCTTTCCAAATGCCCTTTGAGAATGTTACATGAGCCTCCTGGTTGGGAGTCACTGCTTTCTTTATAGGGACGGTTGCATTACATGCATTGCTGTTACATAGAGTACAGCGTTCAGCGCTTATGTCATTCATAACACTATATCCTCCCTGCCAATGAGAAGAGACTTCTTACTATTTCAACCCCCTTCAACACACACACATACGTACATGCGTATATAACAGCCCTCCCCGAGCCATGACAAGAATGAGGGCACGTACTTCAGCAACACCCTGAGTGAATTACTGTGTGTGTGTGTGTGTGTGTGCCATAAAACAACCAACAGCACAAACATTTATCTTAGAATCCATCAATGCAATAAAACGTGGGCAGGGATTCAGCTGAAATCTGATAACGTGCAGTCAGATGTGGCTTTATCATGAACATCCACTGAAGATCACAGCAGACTGCAACACAAGTCAGCTGGACTCCTTCTATCACCTACACCACTAACCCGACACACGTGTGTTCTTCCCTGTTGATGTTCAGCGCACACACATCTTAAAAGCTGCCTAAAAACCTGCCTAACAGCTAAGAATGGGATTTGAGAATGATTAGAACATAACGAAACTATCAGACTATGCAGACTGCAAAAAATCATGATATTAATAATTAGAAACACTTCAAGTGTGACAATCAATGCAATCCTTTAAAAAAAAAAAAAAAAAGAATACTGACAGAATTTCTCATAGAATTTCTGCAGAATTCGACCAACAAATTGGATCAAACAAGAATTCACTAAAAAAATCAAATAAGATTCTGTTGGATAAAATGAAATTCTAAAGAAAAAAAAACGAGTTTTTGGTTCCAAATTGGATTGTGTTTGATTCTTAGAGTTTGATACAATTAGGATTATGGTCAAAATTCCATTCGAATTTATGAATTTCGGACAAGGTCAGTTATTCAGGGTTTTTTTGTAATTCAGTTTGTTTGTGTGTGTTTTTTTTTTGGGGGGGGGGGATTTTGGTCTATATTCTGAAAGTTTTCACAGAGGGGCGTATTCATTTATAATTCACCGGACGTATATAATATTTTAATCCTACAATCATGGTGATTTTTTTTTAGTACAGACTGCTTACATTATTTTATGTTTTACTGAAGTATAACAATAGATATCTAAAATCCCCTATAACATGTCAACAAAATGAAGAATCATTTTGAACCTGGCTTTATCCTATGTTCAGATTTCAGTTTTGGAAATGTATGCAAATTAGTGCATAATTAATTCGACTTCATCTAAAGCTTCATTTGCATATTAAAACAACACATCAGAAAACTTCGAATACAAAACCATGGTACATCCCCACAAACCCTGGTGTTTCCGTGGAAGAGTGTAGCCGAACTCAACCTCCCCTTCTTTTCAGATCTTCTTTCCATTTTTTGTTTTATTTGTTATTTCCTTTTTTTCTTTCCTTTTTTCCTTCTTAAAGTGTTTTTTTTATATATATATATTTAGGTTTGCGTGTGTGTGTGTGTGTGTGTGTGTTGTCTCTGTTACCACTAGTTTTGTTCCTTTATTATGTTATCTAGACTATTATTCTGAAAATGTGTACTTGGTGTTTTTATTTTATTATTTTATTTTATTTTTTAATGAAGATGTACCTCTTCGGCAACCTCTTTCTTTGGCTGTTGCCAAGCCTTTTACGTTAAACGACAACTTATGGACTGAACAAACATGGGACACTTTATTCCTCCACTGTCAATTCTGGAAATCTGGAAAAAGTCTGGACTAAAGATTATTTGGCCTATAGTTGTTGTTGTTGTTGTTTTTTTTGGGGTGGGGGGGGTATTGATTATAATTGTAATGTAAAAAAAAATCAAAGAAAATATTAGAAAAAATAAGAAAAATATGGTATTATCATCATGATACTTCAAAGAAGATGTACCATGACATGTCAAAAAAACATGTTCTAAAAATGCATGATCATAGAGCATAAAACATGCTTTGTTAGTGTTGTAATAGAGTTTACTCACTCATTTTCTAGGAGGGTCATACAGACGACCTCTCTGACCCCAGGGTTGTTGGCTTTCTCGCTGGAGCAGCGCTGCAGGTTCCAGGTGGCCACTCGCACCGCGGGCTTCCCATCGCGCGCAGCCGCCGGAGGCTCGACGCAGGGCCGCACAGAGCAGACGAGCGGCGGTTCCCCGAGCGGAGCGTCCAGCTCCTCGCTGCCGCCACCGAAGGACGCGGGGCTCGGGTGCGTGAGCCCTCCGTTCGTGTTCGTGGAAGGAGTCCTGGAGCGCTCCACGAACACCTGGAAGCGGATGCGGTCCAGCAGAGACGAGTTGATGCTGGGCACTTTGACCAGGTCCTCGATGCTTCGGAACGGACCGTGCGCGGAACGGAACTCCACGATGCTCTTGGCGAGTTTCTCGGTGATGCCGCGGACGCTCACGAGCTGCGGCGGCGTGGCCGTGTTTATGTTGACGCCGGTGCACGGCAGGTGCTCGTGCTCTTTGCGCAGAGACGAGGGCGAGTGGTTAGACGAGCTGTTCTTGCTCGACACGCAGATCTCTAGTTTAACAGCCTCTAGTTTCGTGGCACCGACCCCGCTGACCAGCGCCAGGTCTTCGACTTTCTTGAATCCGCCGATGCATTCCCGGTACTCCACGATGTTGTGAGCCACCCCGCGGTTCACGCCCGGTAGAGTCATGAGCTCCTCCTCGGTGGCGGTGTTGATGTTCAGCCGCTCCTGGTTCACCAGTATGTGGCTGAAGTTGCATGCCGCGCTGAACTTGCGCTTGCCCTGACAGAAATCCGTGGGGTCCTTGGGAATGGACCGGTGGCACCCGAGATTCCCACCCATGTGTCCCGGTGAATCAGCTTGCGAACCGAGGATGAAACCCGCTGCGCACTGTGCCTGGAAGATCCCGGTGGCACATAGACTAGTCTTGATATTTGAGCTTGATATTTAACGCTAATCTAATTCCTCTCGTTAAACATGACACGTTGGGATCTCTTATCCCCGTCAGTTCGTGCAAAATCCGCCGCGTTTTCTCAGTCTCAGAGCAGAAGGAACAGCGTCCATATCAACGCTCTTCCAGGCAGACTGAACTGAACTGAACTGAAGTGAACTCTAGCGCGGTTTCTCTGTAGAGGGTGGCTATCCGAATCTTTCTTTTGAGCCGACTCTTTTTTAAAAGATTCGATCGAATCAATTCACTGAGCGTTCCTGAAAGCACGGGTAGGCTATATTCGTATCAATAGCTAACAATAGGCTACATTGTATGGGTCAAAATGATCGATTTTTCTTTTATGCCAAAAATCATTAGGATATTAAGTAAAGATCATGCTCCATTAAGATATTTTTGTAAATCTTAATTTCTGATTAGTAATATGCATGGCTAAGAACTTCATTTGGACAACTTTAAAGGCGATTTTCTCAATATTTTTTATTTTTTTCCAGATTCCAGATTTTCAGATAGTTGTATCTCAGCTAAATATTGTCCTATCCTAACAAACCATAGGCCTGCATCAATGGAAAGCTTATTTATTCAGCTTATTCTTTCAAAAAATTGATCCTTATGACTGGTTTTGTTGTCTAGGGTCACACATAAAAACGCAGGGTCATTGATTTAGCAAAAACAGTCAGCGTCTCAATTAGAGTGATACTACAATCAAACTAGAATATACTAAACACAAAATATACTCAAATTCATACAAATTAATCGAAAACATAGTAATAACAGACAAACATATTAAGTTAAGTGCAAAAAAAAATTACGCGCGTGGAATTCAGTTAACTTTTGAGTGAGAACTCAAACGAACCGATCCGTTCGAAGGAATCGACTCTCAAACGAATCGGACTTCCCAAAGCTATTTCAAAGCACTAATCAAACGGCGTTTGCGTCCAGTCGACGGGGGCGTGGCCTCCTGTCATTATTATTGTCCATTGTCTGCGGACTTTCCCAATATGACACTTGATAGAGACAAGGAGCTATTGTGATTATTTCTTCCCTAATGAACATTTTGTTCCCATTTATTGATGCATGCCGTAATAGGAGTGTAACAGTAAGTACAACATATCTGAGCTGAAATTGCTTTCTGGAAGGCTTGTTGTGTTTAATTTATGTATTGAACACTGTATAAAAACCGAATGAAAGATGTTGTGTGACATAAATCATTCCTACCCTTACCAAGTATTTCTTTGTTGGGAAAGTGATGTTTACAGATTTAGTTTGTTTAGACATAAATACAAATCACACTGGAACCATTTCTTGTTACAGACTCTACTTTGAAAGAAGCCTGGCCTCAACTCCGTAATGTTTTTTTTTTTTTTTCAATTATAACCATGAATAGCTTGTGCAAGTGTGTCAGGAGAGATGAGGACACTTTTATATAACTCTAAACCTTGTGTCAAAGTAATTATCACAGTCTGCTTTGAGCTGCTGTCAATTCAATGCCACTATAGCATTTGATCTGAACCCCAGATGATTCTCTGTTGTGATTGCAGCTAACAGAAGATCAAATCTTCCTCAAGATTCAAAATAGTTTCTTATCACGGACATTTAGCTGTTCAATAAAAACTATACAAAGTCCAATCTCACAATATCTTAAGCATTTATGACTATAAAATAACTGATATGAATTATTTTGCATGCAGACTACAAGTTGCCTGTTGTGTTTAAATGTTCCCAGCTAAACTACTTCTGGAACAAGGTGTGCTTGTGGTTTGATTGACTTTCATGTGTTCAGTTCACATATCTGGCATTGTCTATGCTGACTAGTAATGTGGCAGTGATCCAGCACCAATTCCTCACAACTACTGAGAAGTTTATAAGAGGCCTAACAAGTCCCATATGCCTGATTATCACACAAATAACCTGCAAATAATCTCAGCTCAATAAACAAGAAGTTAATATTGAGTAAAAACAATACTACCTGTGCCTGTTTTTGCTCCATCAATGAAGATACAGTAGTTCGAAATGAAGCAGTAATTCAACTGCCACGCATCTCTGACCAACGCTTGAATCTAAATATGGATATGCATACATGCAAAAACAGTAGTGAAAACATTAGAATGTCAGAATTAACAGTATTCAAAAAACAGTAATCAAACGGTAAATGAAACCTGGATAAATCAGTGTTTTTGAACAAATAGGTTTAGTGACTCATTCAATGACTCACTTATTAAAACATATAACTTGTCACCACCTACTGGTGTAAGAGTGTAACCTGCAAAAAGAGTCACCGAAAAATCCCCAATACTCAGACTGAAGGCTGTGTTCACACCAAGATGAATGTTTGGTGGGAAAATTCGGTTAGATATAGACTTTGATTTAATTGAATGACTTGTGTTAAGATTTAACCATTAATCAGCGAGCATATCATAGACCAGGGTTCACTGGGGAACTGCAGGGAGTTCCTGAGTTGATTCAAAGCTAATAATACAAATTATATTGGATGTCAAATTAAAATGATTATCAAATCAAAGGCTGTGATTTAATTAAATAATTATATCGAGTGAAGCGCAGCACTGTGTTCATGCGAGCAGCTCGTGATCCTGTGTTTTCAGCATCTCAGAGTCTCTGGTTTCACAGCAGTGTTATTTTACTATCATCGATTATCACTATTACAGTTTTTCAGAACATTTTGAATTTGATTTTTTAGAAGGATAAAAAGAGATGCTCAACCAACTGAAGAGGAGGTAAAACCAAAAATCAAAAGTTCATCTCAGTTGATTTTTTTAATATATATTTTGTTTTCATTTTAAAGTTTTAGTAATTTTGTTGTGTTTTTGTTCATTTAATTTTTTCCACATTCATTTTTTTTTTTTTAAATAGCCATATGATTTTTAAGTTTTAATTTTTCATTTTAGTTTATATAGTTTTAGTTATTTAAGTACTTCAACTTAAGCTGAGGAAATGAAAAATGATACCTTGGCAACTAGCTAAAATAAAATACGTATTATTATAATTATATTATTACTATTATTATAATTTAAAAAAATGTTCATTTGTACAGTACAATTGAAATTATTGTACAGCAGTAATATATTTGTCTTCATTTGTATAATTACATTATAAAATTATACAGTAATAAAGTTTGTGAGCCCCTGTCCTAGACTATGATCCACTGCATGGCTCTGTGTTGAAAGCAAATGTTTGCCAACTAAATCCTTGTTGTAGACTTCCAAGTGTACTTGAGGTTCAGAATGTTGCACAGCTAAAAGAAGTTCTCAAAAGAAACTCTCAGTAAAGCCTGAGATCACACACTATAATTTGAGTTCAGTGGGTTCAGGAACAAGTGAAATGAATGTAACCGGGTGATGTAATTATATTTCTTGGGAACAAAAGGGCTGTATCCATGGCGAGAGACTACAGGTGGTGCAACCTAATTCAGACAGACACAAATACGACCTCAGTCATGCTTTTTTATCTAGAGTTCAGGGCCCGTATTCACAAAACATTTGATCTTACCACTAAGAGCTCTCCTAAATAGCAGTAAAAGTTTTTAGCTAAGAGTTTTCTCTTAAAAACCTATTCACAAAGCTGCTGAGACAAACTCTTACTAAGGAATAGAGGGAGGTCTTAAACTCAGAGTAAGGGGGCGGGGTTGACCTTGTTGCTATGGATGATGTCAGCATTAATTAAACAAGTAGGCTATATATTCAGCTAATTGTCAGCCTCTTATGCTTCTTGTAAACAATTAATGAATATGCATATAAACAGCCTTTTAATTAACAGAGTGGAATAATCATGGCTTAGTCAGATTTAGGAGCTAGTTATAGTGATAAAATGCTTTGTGAAAGGAGTCCTAAATTTAGGATTGACACGCCCATTATTTTTAAGATTTTCTCCTAAATTGGCGAGTTATGAGCTACTTTTAGCCTTAAGATGTTTTGTGAATACGGGCCCTGAACATCAGTGTGTATCATATCATATAGGATGGAGTTAATATGCAAATACTGACTTCATGCTATAGTAACATGCTACAGTCATGCATAAGTGCATCAGATTGATTGGCTGATGAATCTACAGTCATGTCGCTCCGAGTCTGATGGGAATGAGGTTATTATGAAGCAGGACATTAGGATTGGCCAGGCCACATTATCTGTCCTGTTCAGTCAGATGTCACGGTAAGGCCTTGTGTTTGGCAGGACGTGTCCAGCTCTGGCATCAAATCAAGAGCATTGTGTTGGTTACATAAGAGCGTCCTCTGATCGGCCCGAGTGCTGAGGGACCCCATTAACAACCTCTCACACAGTACAACCTCCAGCCAACACGGACACAGGCCTAATCAGAGATTAAGCTCAGCTTAATGGAGTGCATTACCACATGCTCTGTGTGCAAGAGGCAAACAGGTGTCACTAAATGATATTGTTTGCATCAGTGTAGCTGATTAAAATGCAGTTTACGGTGGGTTATTCTCAGGACAAAGTGATATTTGTCTCCATGACTGAATCCACTGCAACTTACATTTCATTCTAGGTGTGCATTTTATCAGTTCATGCATTCAAACCCTTTGACCTTTGGCTACAGAAACACATATTTACTTAACTGTCTGTTTACCTTCTGGCCATTTGATTTTCTAGTTGTTCGTTGAAACTGTTTTTTTTTTACACAGAAAAGTAAAATAAAAAAATGGCCCAGAAATACCCCTCTCATCTTATGTTTACATATCCCCATTCATCGTTATTAAATTTAAATGGTTTGTTAATTTGAATATTACAATAAAATAAAATATGCTTTCATTATTTATTTATTTATTTATTTTTGAGAACATGCAAAAATGATTGTTCAACCTCTAAACTTTTTGAACAGGGTTGGCACAAAACAGGTTTTGAAAAAGAGGTAACTCCCCAGATGTCTGATTTATTTCAAGGCACACTGAAACAGAATGATCCTCACAGTTTACTAACTTATTCAAATCATTTTTATATGAATTACAAATTTACTGTCCTGGGGCTCAAGAATTTGGTACAAAAAACAAAACAAAACAAAACACACACACACACACACACACACACACACACACACACAACAACAACAACAACAAAGCACCACCAAGACAAAAAAAAAAACACAAACAAACAAGTAAACACAGCATACAAAACAAAAAAGCATACAAAACTACAATATAAAACACCACA